GGAAAATAGATTTATTTCTCTAGAAGGTAGAATGGTTCTGGTTAAATTGATTTTTCTCGCTCTTCCATTATTTCTATCAACTCATATATTGGTTCCTATGGGTCTCTTGAAGGTGTTTGATAAAATTTGCTGAAACTTTATTTGGAACAAACAAAATGGTAACCATGGTCTTCATTATGTTGCATGGGAGGTCTTTTGCAAGACGAATAAGAGGGGAGGACATGGTCTTTATTCAGCTGTATTAAAGATGGGTCCTTTAAGGGCAAAATTTGTTTGAAACCTCATTAATATGCCCATATCACTTCTAAATAGAAACTTAATTGCGAAGTATGGAGATAATTTGTGGAATTGTGAGGCGAAGAGGTGCAGCTCGGTAACTTGAAAAACTATTTTGGATGGGTCGAAGTCTCTTAGTAACATTGTGAGGTGGAAAATTTATTCGGGTTCCTCCATTAACGTCCTTAGGGATGTTTGGATTCTTGACAAAAGCATTGAAAAGTGGCTTACATACATTGCAGAATTAGAAGATGATGCGATTTCCCTGGATGCGTTTATTATGAATGGAAGTTGGATGGTAAATTGATTAAAGCATCAATTTGTAGATCTCGTGGACCTTATCACACAAATTCAAATCCACCCAGAATTGGTTCATTATCGGTTGGAGCTGAAATCAAAAGTTTCTGGAAAAATGATCTTACTTCAGAGATAGTGCGAATTATAGAGGAATTATGTTAATGTATAATACTTTAAAACTATAGGAGAGAGTTATGGAGTATAGGTTACGACGTGATACTAATGTTTCTCAAAATCAAATTGGATTCATGCCGGGTAGGTCTACTATGGAAGCTATACATTTGTTGAGAGGTTTGATGGAGAAGTATAAAGAGAGTAAGGAGGATCTACATATGATATTTATTGATTTAGTGAAAACATATGACAAAGTTCCAAGAGAAGTACTTTGAAGAGTTCTAGAAAAGAAAGGGTTAATAGTGCTTATATTCAAGTCATTAAAGATATATATGCACGAGCTGTTACTTGTGTTCAAACACAAGGTGGTTTGACCAAGTATTTTCCTATTTTATTTGGATTACATCAATGATCAACCTTAAGCCCATATCTTTTTGTTTCAGTTATGGATGTTCTCACTAGACATTTACAAGTTGATATACCCTCGTGTATGCTTTTCGCTGATGATATTCTTGTTGTTGTTAAGATTAGAGAGAGTGTTTAAGGTAACCTTGAATTATAGAGGTCAATCCTAGAGTCCAAAGGTTTTCATTTGAATAGATCAAAAATTGAATACATGGTGTGTAATTTTAGTAGTGATAGATCTAGTGGGGGATTGTAACTTTGGGCGATCAAGTCATTGATAAGAGTACACATTTTAGATATATTGGGTCTATTGTTCAGAGTGATGGTGAAATAGATGGGGATATTAGTAGTAGAATTTAAGTTGGATGGTTGAAGTGGAGAAATGTATCAGGCTTGTTGTGTGATATAAAAGTACCCCTAAAACTTAATGGAAAATTCTACAAGATGGTGTTGAGACTTGCAATGCTTTATGACTCAAGTTGTTGGCCATTAAAAGAGAAGCGTAATATTAAGTTAAGCGTTGTAGAGATGAGGATGCTTAGGTGGATGAGTGGCTTTACTCTTAAAGATAAGATACAAAACGAGCATATCCGTGAAAAGGTTGAAGTTGTTCCAATGACAGATAAGATTGGAGAGAGTCGCCTTAGATAGTTTGGTCACTTAAAATAGCGGCCTTTCGATGACTCGATTAGGAAAGTGGATGTATTAGATTTGGCTTATGTTATGAAAGATAGAGGTAGACATAAAAAGACTTGGTTAGAAAATATTTGAAATTACCTTTCTTTATTAGATTTAAATGAAAATTTGACTCTCAACAAGACACAATGGAGAAAAATGATTCATGTAGCCGACCCCACATAGTGGGATAAAGGCTTGATATTGTTGTTGTTGTTGTTGCATCTTTGACTATATTTGATTGCGAGATTGACATTGAATGGCGGCACTAGGATTGATGATATCAAGAGGGATGCAAATGTTTGTAGCTTGGTTTGGTCAATGATGGAGATCGAATCGGTGGTGGTAATTAAGATTTGAGATATTGTGTTCCAGCACTGAAGTGAGTATGATGTGTGCCAACAACTATTGGATCTAGGAGATTATGTGAACAATGTATTTAGTCAAATTAGAACTAGTAATTAATGCTACTTGTGGAAATTAGTAGGGCTTGACAAGTAGATATGGTGCACAATAAGATTACCTCCCTTGGGGGTATAGTTGTATAAGATTATTGTTATAATTGAAGAGAAGTTTTACCTTCCTTGAGACTAAAAATAAAGCAAATCTCTCATATATCATTTTGAAATTTAGAGAATAGGAAAATAATTTAGGCTTTGCTTAGCATTCTTATCTTTTGTTGTGTTGAGTTGTGATGTATAGTGTTGTGATATGTTTTGTTGTGTTATTGATTGGAGTAGATGATTGTTTGATAAATTCATATTTAATTTATTATCTGAAGTGTTTTAAGGTTGTAGTTGTTTGGCAAAAAGTAGTTGTGACACTATTATGAATTGATTGAATGACTAAAAATAGATTTGTTATAATCTAGTAAATAATATATAAATAATTAAATTTAATTATTAATTGAATAATTCTGAAAGCTAAAACCCATAAATGCACTTTTCTATGAAGCTAACCTAAACTACCTTTCCATGAAAAAATATTTTTTCTGCTTTCATGCAATTAAGTTTCAAAATGCCAAAAATTATTTATGTTGTTTAGGAAAACTATGAAACACGGAAACTTGAAAAGCCTTTCATGTGTTGGCATTAACATTCCTTCAACAACTCTCAACATGTTTTTGACATGTTAATATTTAAAAACCGTGTTTTCTAGATGATGGTGAAGGTGCTTTTGAGGATAATATAAGTGTTGATATTGATGATGATTGTGATGCTTTATTTATTCTGATTAGTGATATTTCAATATGTTCATATCTTGTGTGGTTATTGTGAATATTATATATAATCTTTTTTGGGTTTTTGGTGTTTTGTGTATAAATACAATGTTAATATTGACAAAATCATGCCAAATTATTATGCTAATGTTAGTTTATTTTTGATAATTTAGTATACTTGATGAAATATTAAAATATAATTGTTGTTATATTAATGTTAGGTTTTCTTTTATTAATCGTAAGATTTTGTATGATACATATAAATACTCTATTATGTGATCTTTTTAATTTGAAAATATTAACCATAGATATTTTGATTATGCATTCTATATTAATAATCTATAAACGAAAATATTGTTTCATGGATGCATCATGCCATAATGTTTCTCAAAATCAAATTGGATTCATTCCGGGTAGGTCTTTGAATATATTCATTTATTGAAAGGGTTGATGGAGAAATTTAGAGAGAATTAGGAGGATCTACATATGCTATTTATTTATTTAGAGAAAGCATATGATAAAGTTCAAGAGAAGTGCTATGGAGAGTTCTAAAAAAAGGGTTAATAGTGCTTATATATAAGTCATTAGGGATATGTATGCAGGAGATGTTACCTGTGTTCAAACACAAGGTGGTTTGACCAAGTATTTTCCTATTTCAGTTGGATTATATCAAGAATTAGCCTTAAGCCCTTATCTTTTTTGCTTTAGTATGGATGCTCTCACTAGACATTTGCAAGACGATGTACCTTGGTGCATACTTTTTGTTGATGATATTCTTCTTGTTGATAAGACTAGATAGGGAGTTGAAGGTTAACTCGAATTATGGAGGTTAACATTAGAGTCTATAAGTTTTCGTTTGAATATATCTAAAATCGAATACATGGAGTGTAATTTTAGTACTAATAAATCTAGTGGGGGGTTTGTGACTTTGAGCGATGAAGTCGTTAATAAGTGTACTCGTTTTATATATCTTGGGTCTATTGTTCAGAGTGATGGTGAAATATATTGGGATATTATTAATAGAATTTAAGTTGGATGGTTGAAGTGGAGGAATGCTTTGGGTTTGTTGTGTGATAGAAATGTACCACTCAAACTTAAGGGAAAATTTTACAATATGGTGGTGAGACCTGCAATGCTTTATGGCGTAAAATGCTGGCCATTAAAAGAGAACCATAATGTTAAGTGAAGCGTTGTTGAGACGAGGATCTCAGGTGGATGAGTGGATTTACTCTTAGAGATAGGATACGAAATGAGCATATTCGTGAAAAGGTTGGAATTGTTACAGTGACAAATAAGATTAGAGAGAGCCACCTTAGATGGTTTGGTCATGTAAAACGGTGGCCTTCTGACAACCTTGTTAGGAGAGTAGTTGTATTAGATTTTGCCTATGTTAAGAAAGTAAGAGGTAGACCTAAAAAGACTTAGTTAGAAAATATTATAAATAACCGTTCTTTATTAGATTTAAATGAGAATTTGATTCTTAACAGGACATAATGGAGAAAAAAGATTCATGTAGCCAACCCCACATAGTGGGATAAAGGCTTGATGTTGTTGTTGTTGTGATGAGCTTGAGTAACAAGTGATATCTTTTATTTTTTGGCATGTTATATTTTGCTGATTATATTCTGTTAATGTGGCCTTTTTTTTTTGTTTCAAGCTGATGTGAACCGAGAAAATTTTTTTCCCCATCTCTATTGACAAATAGGCTGTTGTATGTTTCACTTAATAGGCCTGCATTATTCTTTTGTAATTTTTCCAATGTGTTATGCTGCAAATTTTAATGATTATTAGTTCTTGAAGCATTGCGATTAAAACTATTCTAGAATTTCGATTTAACCATCTGGTTTTCACTGTTATATATGTTCGTTTTATTCCAAAAAGCTCATCAGGATGTAAATGCGTGATAACTTTTTAAAGCTTGTAGTGAACTTTTTTAAGTCCTTAAAATTTCATCTTTGGTGTTGTGGTCAAGATCCTCTTTCTTGTTATCAAAAATAAAGTTGTTTTCATGCAGAGTGGAGTCCCAGAGAAAACCGGGGATGTAGTCAGAGCAGTGTCTGATGTTGTGATCGATTCCCCATACAAGGTTCTAAGAACATTCTCCTCACAGATACTTGTTTAGCTTAAAGACTTGGTAGTTTATTGTGATGTGGCTATGGATTTATATCATGAGTTTACGTCCTGTTTAAATGAGATGTTCACTTTCTGCTGTTGCAGATTTTTGTTGGTGGAATTTCAGATATTCTGTCTTCCAAGATGGTAAGTTTTATCTTGCTTGGTGACGAACATCTAGATGTTTTCTATTAGTGCGTGGGCTCTTTCTTCGAGTCCGTAGTAAATGTTTGGTTCTCTTTGATATTTAGAAATTCCTTACGGTTCTGTTATGCATTTCTAGCTTATGGAAATTGCCAATGCTTTTGGGCCATTGAAGGCTTATCGCTTTGACTTCAGTAAGGAGCTCAATGGTCCTTGTGCCTTTTTAGAGGTATTTGTAGATGTTGAATCTAAGTAATTGCATAAATGTGAATGTTACCATATTCTTGTGTATTCCTCATGGCAGTATGAAGATCATTCAATTACTTCGAAGGCATGTGCTGGTCTTAATGGATTGATGCTGGGTGGCTTCATTCTTACTGCAGTCAGAGCTTTTCCTGATATCAATGTAAAGCTGTTTTGGTGCTCCGTTTTAAGTTTCTGTTACTTCAAGGCTGGTTGAGTTTATTTGCTGATGTGCTTCATTTGTAGGAGGATAATGCAAGACCTCCATCTTACGCTGTTCCTCCCCATGTAAAACCACTTCTCGCTAACGTTACACAAGTCCTTGGGCTTCATAATTTGGTAATCTTTCTTCTCAACATATATATAATGCCAATTTTTTTGTTTCTTCCATTGATTCATATTGTGTGATTTTCTTGGTATACCTGACAATTGCACTTATTTACAATGCGAGTTAGATCAATCAGGAGGATTTCCATACTTTGTCTGAAAATGAATTGGAGGAAACACTGGAAGATGTCCGGTTGGAGTGTGCAAGGTGCATAAAAAAGCCCAAATATCTGCTTCTATAATTAGTTTCATTTATTCATGTATTCAGCAAAAGGGTGAATTCGCTTCTTGGTTGCAATATTTCCAGGTTTGGAACCGTAAAAGCTGTGCACTTAGTGAGACATAGCAGCAGTAGCAATGAGCAGAAGTCGGTAGCTTCTGAACTTTCCGATTCTGTCAATGCTTCGGCGTTGTTAGAATCAAATGTCAGCTTTCATAGTGGAAGTAAAGAGAAGGCCAATGAGATGCATCTCGACAAGATTACAGAAGCCTCGACTCCAATATATGTTGAAGAGCCTGAGAATGTCAAAGATGAAGATGGGCTAATTAAGGAAGATGAGATGAAAGAATCAGCAGGACCTTCTGAGGATTTGCAAGACATTGACGAGGGTACAAATGATCAAATTGAAGATGGCCGTATTGAAGAGAATGCTTTAATTTCCAAATTCCCTGCACCTAAAGAGATGCCTGATGCCAAATTGGCTGAAGAGACAAAATTAGATCCTATTGCTGCAGATAAAGAAGAGAACAAAGGAAATGAAAACCGGAAGTTTGTTGCAGAAAGAGATTTGGAAAGTTTACAACAGCAGGCTAATCTTTCTGAGACATTTGAGCCAGGTTTGATTCTTGTGGAGTTTCAGAGGAAAGAAGCAGCTTGTAATGCAGCTCACTGTTTGCATGGCCGATCGTACGACGAACGGAAGGTTGCAATTGAATATATCCCTCATGATGTTTACTTCAATAGATTCGCCAAATAAGCTTTTGCCAGAAAAAAAATCATTAGATGAACTGTAAGATTGTACTGCGACTGCATTGATTATTGACATTTGTTAAAATGAGATGCATTGCTTAGTGGAACATTATAATAGATTTTATTTTTAAAGAATATACAACTGTGTTCAATTTAATGTCTATTTATTGCTCTTATTAACTAGTCATGCCGTCCACTGTTACTATACTAATTCAATTATCCATGTAACAGTTAAATACCAGTTGCAGAATTCTGCCATGAGTTATTGTGGAGAATAAAAGGGATGCTTGCAGTAAAAGCTATATTCTAGCACAAAAAAGATGTCATGTCCGACATAAAACATGGCAAGTTTAATAATTGAGGGTTCGTTTGGGATATTTTTTTAATGTTTTTTAAAATAGTGTTTTGGTTAAAAAAAATTTTGAATTAAAAAATTATTTTAGAAAGCAATGTGAAAGCTGTCCCAAATGAAATTTGAGTGACTTGATTGTCTATTTTCAGGGGTTGATCTTGATTTACTGTATATTCATTTGTTCAATCGAATCAAATAAATTTGAGAACTGGTTCATGAGCCGGCTGTTTAGACCACCGACTATGATCCGATTGGCATAACCATCTGGGCAACTATACATAGCTTTAAATGGATGAAATGCTCAAGTTCAATTGATGTAAAACAAGTGGAACTCTATCCGTTAAAGATTAAAAGATATAATGTAGACCATTAAATACTTTCATGAACATCCTTTTGACTAAGTTTTTTGCTTTCTAAAGTAGCTACCTAGTTCAAAGTGTTTTAGCTAAATAAAAATTTGAACTAAAAAACTATTTTAGAAAGCAATGAAAAAATCGTCTCAAATGAAGCCTGAGCTTTGTTTAATTTAGAATGAAATTTTGAAAAATATCCATCTACGAAAAAGTGGCACCATTTCTTTACATAAGAATTGACGTGCTTGAAGAGTGATAAATTTACTTTATTTTGGATAAGCAATGATATTAGCAAATGAGATATCTGACAACAATTAGTTAGGTTAACAAGTTCATTAAAGAAAAATTTCTATGGAAATGTTTTTAGTTAAAGCCACAAAAGAATGGGTTTCATGTTCAAGTGATGAAATGATTAAATTTGGTGATATAATGTTTTTTGCTAATATATTGGATTTTTTTACTTTGGAATTAGCCCTTCCCAATGAAATGACATTCGAATTAGCCCTTAGGTTTAGTTTATGACAGTCGTTTTTGTTGCTTCTTAAAACAGAAAAATTTTTGTACTAAAAAGTTACTTTAAGAAACAATCAGAAAACCGTTTCAAACAAAACCTTAATGAGCATTCAAACCTCCCAAAATTTTAGCACAAATCAATCTTTTTTTTTTCCTCGAGATATCAAAATATGACATTTGAGCTTTTTTATTGCTTAGGTTTTTTATTCAACATAGATCTCATTTCATTTTTCTTTTCAAATG